TATAAAATAGGCTGAGTAGTCATATGGTTAGATAATATACTGAGGTATCCAAAAATTGCAACAGTATTGATTTGAGCACTGTCCTTGAAAAGTCTGCACAGATAAGCTGAAACCGTGGTGATGTTTGTGTATGGAGTCCTGTAAACTTATTCCGTTACCATTTCTGCTGTCGCAATATTTTCTCTCTCATTACATCTCCAGTTTATAAAGCGGACTGCAGATAGTATCATGGATCTAAGTTTATAAACCACAACTCTACCTTCTGGACAGCACAACTTGCTTATTTCATAATCAGTGCTCAACTTGTTCATTTTATAGCCTGAAGTGACTGAAGTGTCTTTCATGCAATAACTCAAAATTAGTTACGCTGCTGCTTTTATTACTCCCTCATTTGATAGCACTGCAGCTAATACTTTAGTGCAAATCATGTACATTTTTATGAATAAAACTTTTTTTAATTAAAACTTAGTGTCAATACTAAAAGCAAAGTACTGAATAACCAATGTGCACTTTTAATAATAATGTGAATAGCAGCAACAACCTAACATGCTACTGGGATAAACCTCTTACAATGTTGAGTTCAGTGTGGAAGAACATGAGTGGCCTGTTCAGAGCCCTGACCATCAGCACCATTGAGGATGAAATTAGACATAGATCTTCTCTTTCATCGTAAGACCCTGACCTAATGCAGCCTTTATGGAATAAATGGGCACAAAATCCCAATAAGATGAGTAGGAGCTGTTAAAGCTGCAGAACAGGGACAGACTCAGTACAGTTCCTGTTGTTGTGATGGTCAGATGTGGTTAAATTCTTTTATCCATTTATTATAACTTCATCTCACTCAATACATAGTTCCTATTAAACCGTACCAAAAATGAGTCCTACTAGAAAACTGCCATGCTAGTAGGACACCTGTAATCAGTGTCACCTGTGCACACAATGTTTTTCGTTCTGGCTTTTTAAAAAAAAAAATTCAAATATTTGTCAACTGTGGCTTCTTCAAATGCCAAAGGACCTTATAGAAACACATTAGTGTTGTTGAAAAGATATGAACGGGAAAATAAATAAATTAATTAATAAAATTCAGCATGATTGGGATTGAGCCATAGGAGGTGGACAAAATCAAAATGTGTTGCGAGCCAGACTCGCTCCTGGCGGGCACTTACTTCGACGTAATAGATTTAATTCACAAGGAAAGCGCGTACACTCTGTAGGAAGTATGTGCATTAAAATCTTTGGATGTTTAACCAAAGCAAGAGTGGTTGAGTGAAGGATGCAATGACTAAAAACTAACAAAGTTCAGATCAGGGTAAGGAAAGGAAACATCTACCTTTAAATGGAATAATTTGGGTTTTAATTAATATTGCACCCAAAGTTATAAGCGCTCTGCTCTCTTTAAGATCTATATGAAAATGCATGATCCGTCTCGAGAATAATGTGTTTGCTACGATATCAAATACACAACCATTAGAGGATGGAAAGTGGTGGAAAAGTTGCTTTCTCTTACTGCGATGGTGGGATGTGTGGTAAATAACCAAATGACACAGACCTCACAAATGAGAAGACTTTTAGTAAACAAAATACTGACTTTCTAGGTGCTGTGAACTACAGAAACACCCATCCATCATCTTTACCCTCTTCTTCCTTTTTGGGTCGCGGGTGTCACTGGTGCCCCCATCACTGTCGCTGTGCGAGATGAAGTGGACACAGAGACAAACAACCATTCACTCTCTCACTCACACCTAGGGACAATTTAGTCACCAATCAGACTAACATGCATGTTTTTGGTCTGTGAGGGGAAACCGGAGTACCCGGAGAAAACCTACGCATGCACGGAGGGAACAAGCAAACTCCACCCAGAAAGGGCCCCCAACCAGGATTTAACCCAGCAACCTTCTCACTGAGAGACAGCAGCTCTACTAACTGCACCACCGTACCGCCACTTCAGAAAGCTTCAAAAATATGTAACAATTTACACTAGGAATGTGCGATACATACGGAACACGGTAGAAACGATAGACATTTAGCCTACAATAGAGCTCTGTCTTCTACCAGTTAACCGCAGCAGTGCTTACTGATGATGTAATCGGCTGGCGTCAAAGCATAGAGCAAGCAGGTAGCAGCGTGGCTGAGGGGGGAGGAGCTCGTTAAAAAGGCAGGAGCAAAAACATCCATTATCTGGACCCGGTTTGGATCTAAACAGTCAAACCAGGAGCAGAAACCTGCGTCGAAACAAAAGGTGTGGGGGCTTCGCTCTGCGACCAATACAGAACCTTTCCGTGACTTTTTCCACCACCACCAGGAAACGAAAGGCTTCCTTCGGGTCAAGGTGACTCGTTAGTTCGCATCCTCGCCAGAAGTTTCCATCGGCTTCTGGACAAGGACAAGCTGGTGTTCTTGACCAACAATCTTTAGACTAAAATGACAACGAGATTTTGAATTTGAGTTTTGTTAAGTGTTTCAGTGTGCACTTTTTTAATATGCAACATGCTGCTCTGTTGCTGTTCATTTCTTAAGCAAGACTGGAAACTGTTAAGAGTTAACAACATGTTTTTTTGTTTAAAACATAAGGCTAAAACTACATTTGATATCTTTTACACTGTTTTGCACTACAAGAAAGAAGCCCAATACTTGATTTGTTTATTATTTAAAAACTCTCTGGACCTAGTAGTGGAATTTTCTTGACTGGGATTATTTTGTCGTATAACAGTTTTCAAAATAAATTATGGCAAAAGGACACCATATGCTTTTTTATTCCTATTGCAAGTTTTATACCAAAAACATACCATACCATTTTATTTATAGAGCACTTAAAACAGCTACAAGGCCAACCAAAGTGCTGTGCAGACAGAACAACAGACAACACACAACGCAATAAACAAAATGAAGTAAATCAAAAATATAGACATAAAACGATGCAGATAATAAATATGATTACAAACCAGTGTGGAGCGTACAGGATCAAACACAGATCCTCTGGTGTTGAAAGCTACTGAATAGTAGTGAGTTTTTAAACGGGATTTGAAAACCGAGAGGGAGGGGGCCTGTCTTACAAGCAGCGGTAACTCATTCCAAAGTCTCGGTCCTGCTACAGAGAAGGCCCTGTCACCTCTGCGCTTAAGACGAGTTCCTGGAACTGTGAGGAGCAACTGGTCCGCTGACCTCAGGGAACGTGGTGGGACATACGGTTGTAGCAGATCAGAGAGATTGGGGGGGGGGGGGGGGTTACACTGTTCAGTGATTTGTAGACATACAGGAGTATTTTGAACTGGATTCGAAAGTGAACTGGTAGCCAGTGCAGTGAGGCCAAAACTGGTGTAACGTGCTCTCTTTTGCCTGTACTGGTTAAAAGTCAGGCTGCTGCATTCTGGACCAGTTGTAGTCGTGTAATGGAGGTTTGACTGATACCAAACAGGAGTGAATTGCAGTAATCAAGCCTAGATGTAATGAATGCATGTATTACTGTCTCCAGGTTCTTTTTGGACGATATGGGCTTCAGTTTAGACAGCCGCCTCAGTTGGAAGAAACATGATTTAACAATCATGTTTAGACAATTGTTAAGTTTCAGGGAAGGGTCCATTATCACGCCCAGATTAGTGACACTTTGTTTTTCTGACAGGGTTAGAGCAGAAAGGTCGATGCAGTGGTTTGTGATCGTGTCGTTGGGAGGAAACAACATGACTTCAGACTTCTTTTCATTGAAACTTAAGAAATTTAAAGCCATCCAGTCCCTGATGTCAGCCAGGCAGTCGAGCAGAGGTTGAATGAGCATGTACCATTGTGGTACATCAATATTGGTGGTATATCAAACATATCGTGATATACATCGTTACCGCCACCCATCACATTATATATCAGGATATTAATTTTATGCCATATCACACAGCCCTAATTTACACCTAGTTAAAGTTTTGTTTAAGTTGAGCTGCTCCTTTTTTAAATCAAGTTGAATAAAGTGTCAGTCGAAACACGTTGGGAAAAGGAACCAGTCGTGGAAAACCTTGTTCCTTCTCGTCAAAACTGAAACAGGATCTTGTGCTTAGCAAAAATTTAAAAATGTTCCTACTTCAAGACTAACTTTTGATTTTGCGATGAAACACTGATGAGTCGTTTTGCTGGGCCCAGTGATCAAAAGGCGTGTTTGTTAAGATCTGAGCTGTAACCACCTTCATTCTTTGACACAAGTGTTGCAACCCAGGGATTTGCTGAATTTCTCTCATTGCTCAGACATCACAGTGGTGTGCATTCACCTCTCTGTAACCTCACCCAAAATAAACCTGTATCCATGAGTGTATGATATGATAATGAGTTAAACTGAATTAAATGACATATTAAGACTAGATGCTCCACAGGTGACCCCAGCTTAGTCACTAGTCAGAGCTTCTTTCTGTCCCTCTGTGGCAGTCTCTTGAGATGGCAGATGAATAAAAAAATAATTCAATACCTCCTCGAACAAATCCATTGGTAGCTATAGCAGAGGTAGAGAGGCCAGTGATGGTCGTCACAACAGTGGCCATGCAGACGATCACGCAGGCAAGAACTGCAAAACAAACCGAAACACATTCAATGAGAAAAAAATGTAACACCGAACAAAGTCCTGTCATCAGTGTGAGAGTGTGTGAAGAGTAACAGCACAGCCATGAAGACAAGCCCCTGCAATTAAATCTGCTACGTGACACTTTGTGACTACATTTCACATCAAAGTAGAGAATCAGTGAGTGCTGGGTGGTGGGGTTATTGACTGTTTAACATAAACCTGTCAGTAAATATGAACTTTGTGCTTCTGCTTGCTAATTTGAATGCGGACATAAGAATTTGTCAAGTATCTGCAGGCTGCCTGTTGTCTGTTTTCAAGCCCTGATGATGAGAGAGCATCAAAACAAGAGAAGGATGAAGACTGCAAACATCTGCCCTGGATGCAGGAACAGAAGTAAATCTGTGTAACTGGTCATGATTTACCACTAAAAGAGGCTAAAGTAGCATGAGAAAAAGCCACATATATCCAAGAGTTATTGCGTCCAGGACATTTCCTGCAGTAGACGAGATGATTGCATTTCTTTGTAAATAAACAAGTTTCTGGTTTAGAGCTGCAGATAAAAGGAAGCTTATTTGTAAATGTTCTTCTGAGCCCTTGTGGCTTTTATTCAACATCACAAGGACGAAGAAAGCAGAAATGATAAAGAATAGAAACGAGTTCTGGTCAGAACTCAAACCAAGAACAGCCAGAAGAGTTTCAACCTCTGCACACGGTGCACCTGGTTAACAAGGTGCCTCGCTGGCAGGTGTTCTAAATTCAACGTTCTTTGAGTTGAAAACCGTCTGAATATTGGATTGGCACTTACCAATTCCAGCCTGGCCAACGATCCATGTCATACGGATAAAGAGCATCACCCCCCAGATGTTCAACATGCAGCGAACCTGCAAAGACAAGGATTTGTTCCAGTGAGCAGCTGGAAGAGGGCCGGTCCTTTCAACATCTAGTGGCTGCTCAAAATGCAAAAACCTTATTATCTTTAAAAATAAATAAATAAATCCAAGACCGTCTGAACCCAGTTAGGAAAATTATCAATTAAACATCTGATTAAAGCAAACAAGAAAACATTTCATTCAATAAATATTGTTGTAATAAGGTTTAAATTATAAAGGTAATATTTAATAATGTTCAGCGATATTTCATCATGGCTAATTCATTCTGTTGATTGAACGTCGAGTTATTCCTCCCCATGAGTTTATCTCACCAACACGGGATGCAACTTTTGATCATACCTGCGTCTGATCTAGTAAAATCAAACGTGTAAAAAACAACATTGAGATTAAATTTTCACTCAAAGCTACAACATATTAAATATAACGGACATAATGAGAAGTAAACAGTCTTTTAAATATACTTTCATTATAAATAAACAGCTTTGAGGGTTAAAGTTTACTAGATTAAATATTTTTCACAGAAAACAGGCAATTAATAAAATGTATGTTTTAGATTGTGCTGTCGTAACTGTAACAAGAAAAAGTACTGGACGACGTCATGACAAGTGAGAAATTTCAATAAAAACATTAAGACGGGAGATGATTTACTAGAAGAAAAGTGGATTTTTAAAGCGACTCACCAACACTCCTTTAATCCAGCCAAACTTGACCACTCCTTTGGGCTCGGCTGCTTCTTTTGCAGCAGCCTCCTCAGCCGGTGTCAGCTCATCACCGTTGGCAAAGCCATCCTCAAATGGCTCCTGAGACACAAACAACAGTTACATGTACACAGCGACCACAGACTGAGACGACGCTGACGTCCTGTCACAAAGAAACAGATGGATGTTCTAGATGAGCTGTCCAAGGTAAGCTTAGGGCCAGAGCAGGAAGTACTTTACAACAAGACACGGGTACGTGTCTCATCACCCATATGGTTTTAAGAATTAAGAAAAATATTGAACATTTACAGGAAAAAAAAAAGATTTAGTGCTTTAAAAAGTAAATATATTATGACATAAAAATGGGCATGTTAAGGCAAAAAAAAAAAGGGAGAACCAGAAAGAATTCAAAGTTTGACTCGGTCAATAGATTTGATCTGGACATAGAACAGTCTGTTCTTGTGTTACTACAAGAGTTAAAATGGAGAAGTCTTTGATATGTTGCAAGAACAACTTGCACCCTGTTGGGTTTATGAATACACTCTACAGCAGGGCTACTCAACCGGACGAGCACCCCGCCAAAAGCATTGACTTACATAACACAATGCTATAGACCAGGCCAGGCAGACCAGGTGTCACCCTGTCACCCTTCACGTTTCATCAAGGGTGCTCACTACGTAACCAATCGCTACGTACCAGGAACAACCTCTGACTCACGGTGTCAGTTTACAGACAACAACAGACTTTAACATACAGCAAATGCCAAAACAAACCTGAACGAGACGTTAACAAGAATAACCCATTTCCACACAGAAACATCGTAAACCGTCAAGAAACATTACACGGATAAGGTTACCCAGCATGCTTTGCAGCTCACACAGTCTAGGATTCTCTCACAGAGACAACTTTGTGAGTTTGGGGAAAATAAAATGAAGTTAAACAGAGACAAAACATTGCTTTAATCTGGGGCTACAAATATCTGTTTTGGTGTTATATATGTTTCGTAATAAGAATTAAATTGGCAGAAACAAATCCAAAGGCTGTGCGCTCTTGCGAGGGCACGGTCTCTCTCTCTCTTCTTAATCTCTATCAGTTCTGATAAACTGATAATGTGTGATAGCTTGCAAGCCGGATTAAACAACAACAAACAAATTTAATTCCTAAACCTTAAATAATTTCACCTCAAGATAAAATAGCACATCTAAAATCGGTAATCTTTTTATAAACAATTTCAAATAATGCAAGTAAAAATTATTACCAGTAGTCCATGTTCCTTCCTGGCACTACTAGACTGTAACCCTACTAATATTTTAATAATTCTGTCTTCAAAAATTACAACAATTTATTAGTAATAAATATAGAAAGATATAAAGATAATGGATGGTTGGATGAATTTATTTTATCCTGCTTGCTTTAAGGGTTTCCAAACAAAAACTTCCAAGTTAAAGATGCATTCACAGCAGAGATTAGGCAAAAAAAAAAAAGGGCGCTATTTAATGGGCATAAATATTTATCTGATAAAATAGTAATTCTCAATTTTAACAAATCTTCCTGCTGTACAAGACTAATGGAAAATATGGGCTGACTTCTGCACATGTCTTTGTTTTTGGCATCTCAAAAAGGCTTGGGAAGCCAATATGAAGGTACCAGTGTTCAACTACCAACAGACAGAAGCACACGCAGTTCATAGGCTGTTACAGTGGACCGGGCGTATTGAGGGTAGGATTCATAACACCATGAGAGAAAGTATCTGCGACTTATAATAAACTATGGTTCCGGGGGCCTTTCAGGGTGGAGTTTGCATGTTCTCTCCGTGCATGCGTGCATTTTCTCCGGGTACTACGGTTTCCTCCCACAGACCAAAAACATGCATGTTTGGCTGATTGGTAACTCTAAATTGCCCCTAGGCGTGAGAGAGAGAGTGAATGGTTGTCTGTCTCGTTTGTCTCCATGTCCCTGTGATGGACTGGAGACCTGTCCAGGATGTACCACACCTCTTGCACACCGACTGCTGGACATGGGCACCAGTGACCCCCCCGAGACCCAAAAAGGAAGAAGCAGGTAAAGATAATGGATGGATGGTACTAACTTCATGTTGTATGAGATACATTACAAAAGCAATCGACTGTGCTCAATTACTCTGTTGCTGCTTTGCTGGATTATTGTGCAAATTGAACTGCGTTATGGGTGACTAACCATTAAAAGCTAACGTAGCTATGCTATGGGCATGGATGCCCATTCATATGCAAAATTGACCTTAATTGAGAAGGCTTTTAATCGAGGCATTTCAAGTTGAGAAACCATGACGACCTTGGGTTAATGGTCATTCCTCCACTTTAAAACCTATGAGCATTGATTAGCAGTGAAGTGGGTGTTCTGAGTCGATATGCACTGAAGAGTGATGTCAAGTGCATCTTGGCAGCCAGTCAAAATTTTATGCGTTTTCTTTAACAGTGGCTTTTTGGTTGCCCTTCTGCCAAAAAGCTCAGACCGGTGAGGAACTCAGGCAATAGTTGTACGCACAGTCTCTCCACTCTCACCTGCTGAGGTCTGTAAATGTTTCAAAGTGGTCGGGGGTCTCTTGGTGGCCTCTCACCATTCTCCTTCTTGCACGGTCACTCAGTTTGTGAGGACAGCCTGCTCTTGGTCAGTTTATACATGTCCCAAATTATTTCTATAACTTGATGGCTTTAACAGAACTCTTGGATGGGTTAGGGCAATGGAAATCTTTTTGTATCCATCCTGACTTCTACTTTTCGATTACCTTTTGTAGTGGACTAGGCCCATGTCAAAACTGACCAGATGGACAGAGACTGTTATTTCATTGATCTGCATCCAGAAATACAGTTTGAGCCATCTGGAGACTTTCTTTCTTGAATTAATCAAGTAGAAAAGACAATTCTCTATGATCATTACTATTTTACAAATGTTTGATAATCAAATTGTGTTAGTTCACTCAATGTTTACAGGTTGAAGAGAACTACTCATTTTATTTACATAAACAGTAAGTAATGATTTTTATTCCTCATTCAAAGAAGAAATCAGGGTAATATGCATTTCTTGATTTTTCTGTCTTCAATGAGCAAATTTGTAAGTATGTTAAAGGTCGACTTTCGGTCAACTAAAATGTTTACTGAGAAGAAATGTCATGTTTAATCTTCACAGAAGATACAGGAGAGTTTGACTCCACGAAGTCTGGTTTTCTCCAATAATCTTTCTGTCTTTTTTAAACAATCTCATTCTCTGCCCTTGACTTTGATAACACCTTACATCACAAACCACACCTCTGATCTGGTCCATCCACCAATCAGAAAGCTCTAAAATGACCCGGAAGTCAACTCATTTAAATGTGGCAACTTCCCGGTTCTCGCCAGAGTGAACAAGAGAGAAAAAAAGAGCTAAGAAAAAAAAAGAGTTAAAGAGTTAAAGAGTGAACAAGAGTTAAAGAGTTAAAGAGAGAAAAAGAGTAAAGAGTTCCAGAGTTTAACTCTCTGAAGAGAGTTCTGAAGGAGTTCAGAATTCTGACAACCCAGGATGCAGATTGGAATTTGGGAATTATAACTTCTGTTTGGATAACCTCGCACGACTCTCTAAGGGTTTGGCTGTCCTCATGGAGATGCTGAAAGAGTCAGAAAGGAACCCTACGCCGACGCTGATTTTATCATCAACCAGGTAGAAGGTTCTATTTTCGACCAAGTGTACCGTGGCCAAGCTGATTCCCCAAAGAGCGTGCACAATCCACAACGGTAAATCCACAACGATTGGAAGTGTTGATTAATCAGCATACAGAGGGGTACCCTTGGATTGAACTGAAGATGCGGCCACTGGATGAAGAGTGGAGACCAACGTCAGGATTGCAGGTCGCCTCCAGCGAAGGTTGTCTCCAGCGACGTCCAGCCTGTGCCGTTCTGGTTCAATGTGTCATGCAATTATGTGGTTTAAGGTGGGCTTATGAAGGGGATTTTACATAAGGCCTTAAACTATATGCACCTGGTGTGTAAGCTATTATGGTTGGGAACAGCTACGACTACCAGTTAAGGGGTGGAGCATGCTGAAAAGGGTAACTACAGGGGTTTATGCCTATAGAAAAGGGTTCCAAACTATTTTTCCATTTCTAACTTGGCTTAAGTTAGCTTTACATGGTAAAATATAGTTTGGTGCAATTGTCTGTTGTCTTTTAGACGAACGACTTGAGATTGGGTGTTTGGTTTCCCCATAAATGTTTTGGAAGTCTATGGCGAGACTTATCAAAAAGAATTAGCTATCCCCCCGAATAGAATTGTTCGAGTAGGTTCGGCTTAAGCGTTGTGAGATCAATGTAGATTATGGTACTTAAGGTAGCAATAATATACATTGACTCCGCAAAGATTGCAATTTAATGAATGAACTGCATGTTGGCATGGTTAAAGGCCTCTTAGTCTCTAACTTAACTACACAACAAAATTCATTCTTCCTTCAGAAACAATACCAAAATCAACTAAACAACGTTTCAACACCGACAAGAGTAGTGACTAAGCATCTAGAAACATCGTTTCACTGCTTCTCCTCACCCTGGTTGCCAGATTCAGTCACGCTGTCCCGTTTATTTGTTTGTTTCTTTTTAGACCCGCGTGCGCGAGACATAATCACATTGAGGTGCACTGCATGGAGATCTTGTTGGACTCGGAGTGACCGGAGGCCTCGGAACAGGGATATGAGTATCCCGCATAACACGAGGAATATCATCATTTGCAGGGCTACGATTAACGTGTCTGCACTTGACCACGCATAGGCAATCGGTTGGATTGGGTTATTATTCTCGGACCTGAGAGACTTGAGAACTCCGTTTAACGGTTCCAAGTCGACGACCTTAGTACCCTCGAACCGGATCCTTCCCAAGGTTCCGGGATCTATGTCTATAGTCATGTTTTTTAGGTACTCTGAGTCGTCCAGAGTTGTTTCCCATTGTCCCGGATCGAGGTGATAGAGCGTCAAATCATCAATGTGTATAGTTGTTCCCTGGGGAACACTGATCCACATTGTTTTGTCCGGTAAGGTCAGGGGTCTATTTGCTCCAGGCTGTTCGTAGGCCATGATTGCCTCTCTTTGGGGGGCGTTCACTA